TCTACGGAAGGAAATTTGCGATGTGTGATAATTGCCTTTTTTCTAGATTTTCTAAAATTCCCCTCCGTAGAATTTTTTAAAAATCTTTGCATTTTTCTTTTCAAGTTCCAAAGACAATCACTGAAAAAAATCACGGGGTCACCGGGTTAGTTTTCGAATTATTTAAGCCACAAGCTAAAAAATGCGTCTGAATAAGCCTATGAAAGCGTTGCCATAGAAACTGCTAGTGACGAAATGACACCTATTTTAGGATAACCAATGATTATATAATTGAACCCAATAAAAGTGTTAAACTGGCCTTGGTCAGTCTTTCTGTTGTATTCTTTCAAAGTTACAAACCATCAAAAAGATGAAAACCGTTGCGAGCCACCTTAAAATATATTGAAGAATGACACCTGTTCTTCATGCGAGGGAAAAATTAATTTTCAAATTCATGTCACTCTTGGTTAAAAAAAAATATGTGCTTGATTTTCTGGCATTGACCTTATTTAAAACTTTTTGTCGTGCGAGCGGTCACGATAGATACTGAGAGATAATTGAAAATTATTGGATGAGGTTTAGCATGATCTTACAGTCAGATGTCCTTTAATGAATCTTATTTGTTAATTCTTAATTGTAGTCGTGTAACGAAGAGGCTTATATTTTGCGTTCGTTTTAAATTTTATCCACAGATAAATTTTCGTTATTTGCTGTATTTTTCATCTGCAAGCAATTGCCCTTGTATGAGAGTTTCCCACTAACTTTAGTATATGGCGATATTTTGAGGAGGTTGGTCACCGCATGCCCCACAAAAGTGAAGCTGATCATTAGCAATATGCAGTTCCAGAGCCCATGGCAAACAGAGCTGCATGAAGGGCTTGTTGTGCGGATGTCTCCTTATTTTACTGCCGATGATTTTCTAACTTCGATGCTGGAGATTTTTACCAAACGCTGGCAAACGATGGACCTGATATCAATGACTAGAGAGATTAAGAGGCCTGAAGGAGAAAAGCATCCGAAAATGGGATACTATTTCACTCTAAAAAGAAATGAAACATTAGGTATGAAGGAGAATTTGTCGTGTCTTATAAGGTTCATAATTCATGACGAGCCGAGCAATCAGCTGGTTTAGATTGTAGTCTTTATAGTATTTGAATTCATTTGAGGACTCAGCCTGTCCGTTAAAGGGAACCTCCACTATTTTTACAAATATCGGCTAAAATGTTTCAAATGTACTTATTAGATGATCTGAAATAAAAAAAAGTGTCTCACCTAGTGAAATTAATTTTTCATCGTCCTGGCCAAAGATAGCCCTATGGCCCGTTTAAAATCCCCGCGGCCGCCATCTTAAATGGCGCGCAGTGCATTACGGGCTGATGACGTATTGTGGTTGCTTCGTACAGTCAAAATGCTGCACTGTGTAGCCTTTCGTTGCAACAACCAAGCGAAAAACAGAAAAGACACGGGCATAAGTTTTCATGTTTTCCCGAAAGATAATGATTTACGCCGTGCTTGAATTCAAGCCGTGGGAAGAACGTCGCTACCAAAATATCCCAGTCTGTGTTCGCAGCATTTCGATGCTGATTGCTTCGAAGACACGGTGAGACTTCAGAATGAGCTGCTTGGATCGTGTCCCTGGAAGCAAAACCTTAAGCCTGAAGCAAAGCCTGAAGCAGAGCCTGAAGCTATTCCCACGATCTTTCCCCACAAACCAGCGCGGTCTGCTCCCCCTTCTAGCAGTAGACGCGCCGAGAAGAGACAACGACAAGAGGATTGTAAGCACACCTCTCTCTGTTATATTTGTCTTTACATTGTCACTGCAATTACAGCTTACAACTCCATTTTATTTAACATTTAAAAGGTTACCGTTTTGCCATTTTCCTCCTCCAGAGACTTCTATTTGCGATGAAGACTATCAAATTGAGTTGATCTTTCATTTGAATATATTAGTTTTTCAAACAAACGTAAACAACCATACTCCTTCCCAGTCCTCTCATGTTTCTACAATTGCCTATTGTTCTAATCCAGGTGTTTGCTCCCCTTAAATTAGGCCTTAATCCGAGCTGGTGAATGTCAGGGGGAAACAAGGTTCAAGATATCCTGGAATAAAGTATCAAAGAGATTTGGAGCTGAACCAGTTCTGGAAGAGAAATCCTATGAATATCTAAAGGACATGTTGCAGGCAGCTCTTCATTTGGCAGCTTCAGGTGTAAAGCCTGCTCCAAGGCTCAAAGAATGATCAGGCATCATGGCCCCACTAGAAAGGCCAAGTCGCAAAGAGATTATTGACAGAAGAGTACAGTTGTCTCGATTTAAGTATGGTTAGCCAAATGTTACAAAATTCAGCAACTTGCATATTTATATTAAACAACTAATATTTATGCTCAACAAAATATGTTTTTATTCAACAGTTTACAGTTATATTCAACATTTTATATTGATGTTCAACGACACGCATTTTCTTTTCGTATTCAACCAAAATTAATATTCATTCAACAACAATGTTTATTCAACTTCAATAGCTATATTTATTTTACTCAACAAAATTAATTGTTGAACTTCAGTCCAAACGTTTTACCCAACAAAAATGATTATTCAACTTCTACCATGCATAGTTATTTAATGACATACCTTCTATTATGACTAAGTGTTTGAAAGTTCCCGGACATTCAAAATATCGTCATTCAACAAAATTCCCCGTCCCTACCCCCGAACTACCCCCAAACATGAAACCCATTCCCTTCCATTACGAAGATGATGGACTGGAACCCGATCATTCAATTTGCGCCAATAAATCAAAATGGCAGCCATAACACTGGACGAAGATTCATTCTTCAGTTGCTTTGAGGATGTTATAAGCTTGTTAACTGTTCGTGAAGAGGGAGAAAACAGTATTTCCCGACCATTCTATTCGGGCATTGCTGTTAATATATCATTTTATTTCAGACGTCTACCAAAGGGAAAATAATCCAATCAATGGTCATGTATGAGGTCATTTCAAAACGTAAAGTGACTTTGGATCAGTTGAAAAAAAGATTGATTACCCTTGATGTTCTTGATGAGATGTCAAAGCACCCACATTTGTTTGAGTGTGTTCGCCTTTAAACCTGTTTAGCTGACACCAGCGATAGTCAGAGAGTATCTCAAATATCCAGATGAATTAAGTGACCAAATTAAGTACCAGATATACTGCTAAGTGAGTACAGTTTGGAGTATTCCTTAACCCCAGTTCTGTCTACACAACATTTACCAAATCCCACGCGAGCGATGCAGACCTCCTGAGAAATTTGCGGGATGCCCATGAAGTGGTGGTCGGTCACGCAAGGTGCCTGATAAAGGCCTGAGTTGACACAGGGTCGACCTCAAAAATGAATGTAATTGATGAAAATTACAGAAAATATTTAAGTCAGCTCTGCATTCTGATAGCGATTGTTAATTTGCTCTTGTTTTAAATACAAATCTGTGAACCGTAAATTGAAACGTCAAAGAAGTCTTATAACATAGCTAGCAGAGCCGCGCAATCAAATTCAATATACGAAAGCGTGCTCAAAGATCCCGATAGTGTACGCTGATAGCATGACCAAATCGCTTCGCCAGAAATTTTTAAATAAAAGTGCCATTCTTGAGCGTAATTGCTTATATAAAAATAAAGAATTTTGTATTTAAATTGCAGTAAAGTAACACTCGAGCTTTCAACAGAAAATTTGAATTAAAACCAATTCATTTTTTGCTTAATATTTCGCGCGAACAATCACCTCTGATATTGTTGTCCGTTTTTCGCGTCGGATTTGATGGACAATTGCAGCGGCTATGTTATAAAACAATTGGTTCATGCTTTAAGCTGTGCACTATCGAGTTATGGAGCACGTGGTAAGTTTGGAGAGCCCTGAAGAAACTAGAGATGCTCTCGGCAATTGCCTTGGGCAACTCCTACGCTTCTTTCGTGCTCTCCAAACTTCCCACGTGCTCCATTAAAACAATAGAGTGTTTCTGTCGAGGAACTCTCGGCTGATAGTTGCCCCTTGGAAATTTGATGTTCTTAAAACAAATATTTGCCCGAGAAGCGAAGCTTGGAGGGCAAATATGCTAGTTTTAAGAACATCAAATTTCCAAGGGGCAACTATCAGCCGAGAGTTCCTCGACAGAAACACTCTATTGTTTTAATGGAGCACGTGGGAAGTTTGGAGAGCACGAAAGAAGCG